TAGCTACGAAAGATTAAGAAGCATAAAACCTTTCTAACGGCCCCCACAACTGGGAAGGGTCAGAGTCCCAACTGAAGTTCATCTCGGTCTCTCTTACAGATTCAGAGACTACATCGTGACACTCACACGACGATCGCTAACCGAAGTACCGTTTATGAACACGAGAGACAGGCGAAAGTTCGGAGTCAGAGAGTTACTTTGGCACGAACGACAGGCAAGCGCCACTCCGGAGCCGAGTAGGAATCGCTTAAAGCACGAAGTAGTGCATGCAGCTGTGCTATAAAAAGGCGCCGGCAGCTGAGCATAGGGTATAAAGAGGAGAGTAAGTGTACAGGAAAGTGTCGTCTACATAAGCATATTATTACATTAAGCGAGATCAAGAAACATTTTGATCAACAGGACATTCAATGACATTAAGGAAGACTGATGGATATCCCAAAGAGCTATTAAGATCACTAAACGACTGACCTACTGAACTATACCAGCAATAAAAATAGCACAAATAATGCTTAAATTAAAATATTATAATGGGTTTATTTTTACAAGAATTAATAATAAAATATTACTTTAAGCTATGCTTATTTTAAAAGTCCAGGCGTATTCCAGTCCACGCTTGTCAATATGATGCTTGGGTGGAAACACAATTCGCAACTTATTGTGAGTTGCAGTCCACTGTGAATGTTATGGAATGCTAGTTAGAATTGTTGAATTAAAGTTTTTTTATAGAAAGTATGTACTCACATTGATTTTTGTATTCTCCATGCCCAACATGGATATTTGCGTGGTTTGTTTATTTATGACTTCGTTGTCCATGCCAAAGTCAAGCCCGGTAAGCAGAACATTGCGGAAGATACTGATGTCCTTGCCCAGAGGATAGATCTCCAGTTCGTTAGTATCGTAGGGATATTCTAGGACAAAAGCATAGATGACGGCGATAGTGGAATTCGATTCCTTGCCCTGGGTATACCAAACATCTGGCGTTAGGGTATCATTCTGATAGATCCACGGAGAGCTGCCATAGATGCCCTCGCCATTGATGCTCAGCCAGCGTCCCATGTCGCGGAGACGCTCCTCGAAGATAGGCAAGATCGTGCCATACTTCGTGGGGCCCACATTGATCAAGACGTTTCCGTTGCAGCTGACCGTTGTGACGATTTCTATAATAAAACTACTCTTAAGAGAAAGTTCATAGAGGTATTCCATATCGCCTTACCCTTGATGACATCCTTGGAACTCATGAAGTCCGCCAGGGTCACATCGAAGCGCTGTCCCCAGCTGGTGCGATCCAGTGTGAAGGCGTTCTCCCACTTGTGTCGCTGCAGCACGCCCGGATTGAAGCGATCGGCGCAGTTGTAGAAGTCGCCATGCATACAGGCGGTGCCGAAGCCCCAGCGATCGTTCGTCACAATCGTCTCTCGAACGGGGCTGTCATTGTAGAGCCAGGCAATGAACTCCTCCGATCGCCAGTACTGGGCCGGCGCTTCCTGGTCCCCATCTGACCAAAGAATCTCCGGTAGATACTCCTGTACTAACTCCATCTGCTCCGGGCGCACCTTGTAGTCTACGTAGTGCTGCTGCAGTAGTTGGTGCGCCTTATCATCGATCCAGAGGCGATTGACCCACTCGTAAAGCGAGTAGTACAGCCCGAATTTCAGATCAGAAACGCTGCGCACAGCTGACGCTAGTTCCTCTGTGGAACGTTGTAGATTATTGTAAATATTTAAACAAAACAGTTAATTTAGTTAGAATTTTTTTCTATTGAAAAGACTGAAAACCAAATTTAAATAGCACTTTAAGAAAATTAAATATTATATTTAATAAATAGCAAATACATATTAATCAATAGTCACTTACTAATAATATCCCGTTTAGGCCCAACATCGACAGAGTTCCAGCCGAAGCTGTACTTGGAAGGCCACAGCGTGTATCCATCGTGATGTTTGCTGGTGAGCACAACATATCTGAACAGATATGAATGGAGCCATTACTACAAGTGAATAGATCTGAAACTACTAATGGAGCTTACTTGGCGCCACTATCTTTGAAGAGCAACGCCCACTGTGTGGCATTAAAGAGCTCCGCTGTGAACTGATCCGCGAATTGCTGATAAGTAAAATCGGGCTTATAATTGCGCTGCATGAAACGTATATAGTCCGGTTTGCGTAGATCTAAACAGATCATTAATATATACACGGTTTTGCTGTTTTTGTTAGGCACTCACTTATCCAGTAGTGCCAGAACCACTCGGAGCCGAAGCTCGGCACAGAGTAGACGCCGTAATGCAGGAATATGCCCACCTTCGCCTCATCGTACCACCTGGGCAGCGGGCGCTGATCTAGGCTCGCCCAATTGGGTTCATACCTAGTGCGATGACCCGGCGTGTGTGCCCAGCTGTCAGAGAAAAAACAAATAAACAGAACTAGAAATGTCCGCCTCAAACATTCCATTGCTCTAATCTCTGATTTCCAATCGGAATATGCGGGATTCTAATACGAAACCGCCCAAGTACCGTTTAGCTTCGCAGTCAGCGTTCAACTGAGCTGGCAGCAAAACGAGAGCGAACTAATGACTGAAAATGGATCAGCAAATGGAATTAGATCACATACGGTTACCTATGCACATATATATATATATATGTGTATATATATATATGAACGTTAATGCGCACGTGGGTGTGGCTGCAGTGCTAAATTATTGATGTGAATAATTTGTAGGCCTCAAATTTTCAATGGGTTCAGGGTATAAAAACTACCTGACAATTTGATGAATAGTTAAGAGCATATTGATTTACGTGGAATTTCCATACTTTGTATATGGTAAAAAAATTTATAAAATATATTAAATATATGTACTTGTATATATTAAGTGTAAACTGTTATATATTCAATATTTTTCCAATATCTCATATTCCAATAGGATAGGAACAGACCAGTTCCAGTAGAATTAGCTTTCTTTTAGTGTCACATACTTTTGAGCTGAAAAATTTGCATACTCATTCACAAACCAAAGTTGTCAAAATATTAGATTTATGGAAAGCTCGTCTTATTGTCCGTGCACCTTTTAGAGGCTGGAGAATTTGAATTGGAAATTGTATTCTCCACAGCACGAGGAGATTTAGACATCACCATGTCTCAATGCGAATCAGCTAACACGGGTATGTAAACATTATCATTTAAGGCTACAATAAAAAATTATTGTAAGAAAATTTAAAAATAATACACTTGTTTTTTGTTAAATTGAACATAACAGTTTATTTTATTATCATTTTGCATTTTATTTCTGTTTTTATGTTTACTTTATTTGCTTTTTTCTCTTGTTTTGTGTGTTTTTTGTTGTCTTTATATCATAAAATGTATCGTTTCTTTCTCTCGAAGTCCCAGTTGGAAACTCGCGCTATATCTTGAATTTTCTATCATTTCCCATAGCATTTTATAGAATCGATTTTGTTTTTCTTTTATTTTCATAAATAGTTTAAAGGTTTTTTTTTTCAACGGTTCTAAATTTTAATTGGATAGGATTTTTATTTTTGGTTTAGCTAAAGCCTGGACTGTTCAGTGAGCCGCGAATGTCTCTGGGCGGGACAAGGAGGGGGGTTTCTACTACTAACTAGGGAGAAGATGCCCCAACTAATGCACATAAATCATATCACACACACACATACATACGTCTACGCATACGCCTACACAGATGCCAACAGCCTAGTAAACACTGAACATTATCTTTTATTTATAACTCTATATATATTATATATAGTTTCGTTAAGTATTTAAAGTAAATTAGCTTCATTGCATTTGGTAATTAAAGTCAATCAAATTCTCAGCATGTTTTCCAACACTTATATGTTTTCTTAATTTCTCCTTTACTTTTTGCTACACCTAATATAAACGGGTGCGAATATTCTTTAAAAGAACTGTGCAACATTTCGGTGCATACAATTTCCATTCGTATCGTTTATAAGAGACTTCCAGAGTTAAGAGTGAGTGTGTGGGTGCCTGTGTGAGTGGTGTAAGTGTCTTCAGATTTGGTTTGGAATAGTTATACTATATAGAAATATGCTACAAGTTTCAAGTGCTTTAGTAGCTAGCCTTTTATGAATTTGCGAAGCGAAAGTGTGAAACAGGAAATGAATTCATAAAAAATTAAATAAGACTCTTGAGATAAGTAGCTATACATGATATACATACTATATATGTACATATATAACATTTGCTGAAGTAAAGCTTTCTTGATTGTTTATAACAATAATGTATTCCTACTTACAGAGCAGTTGCGAAAAACTAAATTTCTATTTTAGTTGAAGTTCGAGAATTAGAAGAAACTAAATCACACTACTTTAATATTTGTTTTATATTTAAATTACTATTACGAACATTTAAAAAGTAGTTTAATTGAGGTATAACTGTTAGAAGTGAATACTCAACAGAAAAAGTAGAGCTTAAAGTGTGGAAGGACTTTCCAGCTGGGTTTTTCGTTAAAGCTAAACAGTGTGACCGTGCTTCCTTATATTTGCAGTGTAAGTTTGTTTTTTAATTTTTCTTTTAGTTTTTACATTTATTTTCGCTTATAATTTTCATTTATTACTATAGTTTTTTTTTAAGTGCCTGTATTTGCCTTTTAGGCTATGCCTTTAACTGTAATTTGTGTAGCAGCAGATCTCTCTTGCGCTCTCTCCCTCTCTCTCACTATTTCTATGCACAGCAACCGCTAGATTTTACATATGTGTGTGTGTGTGTGGGCTGTATCGAACTCTAAGCAGTAAATAACTCTCTCGCGCTCTCAGCAACTGCTTGATTGCACGTGTGTTTGTGTGTGTTCTGCATGGAACTTTAAGCAGTAAATTACTCTGTGGCAATCTCTTTACATTTATCTATGCACAGCAACTGCTAGATTGTACGTGTCTATGTTTTGTATGTATGTATGTGTGCTGTATGGAACTCTAAGCAACTGTCGACTATCGACGCTTATCGATAATTGTGTTTTACAATTTGCATGTCCATTTCTTTTTTTTTTGTATTTTTTTGTTTGTTTTATTTTTACAATATTTTCAACTTTAGGATCATAGAAGTAATAACATTAAATAACATTTTTGCGTAATTCTAGTATTTCTAATGTTTTTTTGTTTGTTTGTTGTTGTTGTTGTTGTGGTTGATGCTGCTGCTGCTGTCACACTATGTGTTGCTGTTGCCGCTGCCACCGCCGCCTGCTGCTGCCGACGCCGATGCCGACGCCACCGTCGCTGTCGCTGTTGCAGCGCCCGCTGCATTGCACTGTATGAGCCCGCTATGCTGTGCAGTCGGCGTTGCAGTCATCGGCCCCGCCGCTGCTGCCGTCCCATGATGCTGATGCAGGTGGTGCAGATGAGTGTGCGGATGATGGTGGTGATGGTGATGAGTGTGGTGATGATGATGGTGGTTCAAGTGATTCAAATTGTGGTTGTTGCTGTTATTGTTGCTAAAATTTAAATGTAATGCACCGCCAGCCGCACCATTGGTTGCCCCATTCGCCGGCGAGGCGTGGCCGCTGGCATCGGTGCCCGCTGCTGCTGCTGCTGCTGTTGCATGAGGAGGAACTGCCGAGGTGCAGTAGCGCGTTGTATCACCGAATTCGCCGCTGGTTAAATCACCCAGAATGCCGCCCAGTAGGCCGCCGCTGCCGGGCGGCTTGCCGCCTGCGCCAGGCTCCGGTTGCGTGCAGATGGGCGGGGCTGCGGCGTCGCCGTCAATCAGCGATGTGCCACAGCTGCTTTGTGAATTGACATGCAGCGCCTCGGCCGAGGAATTGCTATTGTTGCTGTTGCTGCTGCTGTTGTTGTGCGGCTGCTGCTGTTGCAGCTGCGACTGTTGCTGCTGCTGCTGCTCACAATTGGAGCCAGAGACCGAGACAGACGCGGAGGCGGATGCTGAACCGGAATCGGTTTGCGAATCCTGACCGCAGACACTGTTGTCATCGGTCAATCGGAGCGCCACCTCCAGATCGCGCAGCACGTCCGTCTCCTTCTCGTCGATCAGATTGAAGCGGCGATGCAGCGCTGTGAGGTGCATGAACGTCAAATTTAAATGGGTGTGCAAGCCGAGCAGCGCGATTTCTCTGAAATGCGCCGCATACAGATGCGCTATCACATGAAATTGCAAGCGTAAAATCTTTCGGGCGATCGACTCGAACGAGCCGGGAAACTCGTTCGCGTATTTGGTTGGAAAGATCAACTCGTCGCTGACCGTTTTCTGTGTAAAGGTCATCACATAGTCGATATACTGCGGTGCTGCGACCCGCGTCTTCTTACCCTTCTCATCGAACCATAAGTACGTTCTGCAAAGCAAATTCGTAAATCAATTAGAACTGAATTTAGGAATTGTGAATTTCCATGCTAGGCTCACCTGTTGCCCGGTCCGGTCATGTCGGCGCAGCCGGATTGTGTACAAAATTCACTAATAGTTCCATAGACCAAGTTCACGTGCTCGAAGAGAGCCAGAGCTGTAAGACATAGAAGGTATATGATATAAGTAAGACTATTCATAATGAAGTACATTGCTTATAGCATCCGTACGGTTATTGCAATGAAAACTGTGGTCCCTAGACAAATTTATATGAGCAAACATATATGCTTATAGCGTCTTTTCTTATATAACGACGGACTTTCGAGCTTCGTTAATACCGGAATCTGTTGTAAATCAATTTTATTACTGAATTACTTATGTACCTTTTCAATTTCAATATGCTATACTAATAATTTGAAATTATTACTATTGGAATTTATCATTTTCGGTATTATTATTATTTTTGGTATAAAATAAATTACAAAACTAGTAAAACACAAAACACTGGTGAAGATTTTTTCTAATCCTAACTCAGAAACGAAGCTCCATTTTTTTACTCATTCACGAAAGTGAAATGAATATATTGATTTTAACTATTTCTCTATGTATATTTAGGTATACATTGATATATTAGCTGATACGATTTTTAATAATAAACCAACTTAAATGCTTAACATTCATCTTAAATTATTAATAAGCTTTGTCCTTCCCACTCTCTCTCACACTCTCTTTCACTTTCCCCAGTGTGTTTCTTCTTCTTATATGTGAATGACAGCTGTGTTTGTATAAACTTGACATTGAAACACCCAGCTGGGGGTCGGCGACAGTGACAGCGACAGCGACAACGACAGCTCGTCAAAGTTTTATCTTCAGAGGCACGCTCGTAGTATCGTTAAATAGGTCAATGTTAACTCAATATTGGCACAACTGGGCGTCAGATGGAAGAACAAAAGGGAATCGCTTCGATAATTTTCTTGTATTACGTCAGTCCCAATTGCATTATGCGCGGAACAAAGCGATGCACACAGAGGGAGGTGGCGAAGCAGGGGACGAATTCAAAATGGCTTGGCCAATGAAATCACTTTTAATGGATAGGGGCTAGGCATAAGTATATATACTCTATATAAACACTCTCTGCATGCATGTATCTACTATTTCCCTCTATCTATCTGTATGAAGTCAACTTCTGCCCCTATTGTTTACCATGCGACCTCTCGACCCCGCCTCCACCCCCACCGCAGCTGGTGGCATTTTGCAGTTGATTATTAAGAAAATTTATAATCAAAGTCGTTGGCGCGAGCAGGAGGCGGTTGCCTTGGGGGCTACTAATATATTACATTCTGCTGAAACACTGCCAATTATTCGAAAGGCTGCAAAAGGCATCTTTTAGTGCGTTAATTTCTATTTGCGTACCTATCATTATTTTCGATGAGATTAACACGAGATGATGTAATATCTGACAAACTGCTACGAGAACACGTATACAGAAGATGACGACAATGACAATGATGATGATGATGATGATGTGGATAATCATGCGAATGATGTAAGCTAGTATTGTCAATTAAAATTTAGGACCACCCACAGAGTGCTTAACTGGAGCATCGTAGAAGGACGTCAGCCCAAGACTTAATTGGAATTCAGTTGGCATAGTGATTCGATCGTAATTACAGATGTATAAAAAGCTTTAATAGTCGCGCGCTCTTAAGTAGTGCTTAAGGAAAAATTAATCTCTTATTCACATTTCAACTATTTAAAGTTCTAATAATATATACAAATAAAAAATAAAAACATTTAAAATATAGTAACAAAAGCAATATACACATTTACTTTTTTCGTTCCGCTTTAATCTGAGGTAATTCTAACTCTAATTCTAATTCAAATTTACTAGCAAACACTCATCGCGACACGTCTCAATCTGGACCTCGTTTCTATGCTCTAGCTTAAGGTAGGTCTTCATTTCGTAATTCTCTATATATAATTTATGTTGGCACTTAAAATGAATATAAAACCAGGTTTATGGATCTCTATAATTGTTATCAACGGGGAAGCGGAATTAAAAAGCTTTTAAGTGCCTATTTTATATCACTAAGCTAATCTTGAGCTCAGCAGAGTAGAAAATAAGCAAGCATTTTAATAGAGATTTACTCTAAGTAGAATAACTAGAATAATACTCATTTGAGGATTTCAAAGCAAGTATATGGGTTTTCATTAAATGCTTCAGTTTATTTAATGTATTTCCTCCTAGGGAAACATTGATTTTCTAGACTTTTCCAATGCAATGGGTGAATGTGTCAATGCCCAAAACCCTATCAATTTTTATAGAACTGGGGAGATATCTACATATATTCTAAGTTTATCGAAATTTGTATACTAATGAAAGAAACTTGAAACTGAAACCAAGTAGAGCTACCGATATTTATCGATATTTCGATTACAAATGACTTTACTTGAACTGCGTAAAGTGTATAAGTCTAAATATATATTCAATTTCAATTAACAAGCATTTATTATCTACAATATAACTCAATACAGACAGATAGATAACTCCCTGACCGGATATACACATATTCTACTATATATGAGGAGTAGTAGCTCTACACCTGTATATATATCTAGAATAGTTCTACACCTGGCCTGCTCCCCAATCAACTGCAGCTTATAAAAATCCAAGTACTACTATAATCTATAAGGTAATACGCCATTGCTTAGCGACATCCATTCAAGTTTTAAGCGATATCTGTTACTATGCCTCCATTTGCAGCTGTTTGGGAAGCAGCTTCCCATTGTTAACTGTCAATCGGCACGTTCTAAGCCCAGTTAGTTGAATCAGTCGCGAGCGAGAGCCACAAATTGATCTCCGTGTGGCCAGAAGTCACGAGGTTCAAATACCAAACAACTTGTCTATCAAAATTACGAACATTTATAATCACACGGTAGCAAATCAACAAGAGCAACAACAACAAAAACTAATAACAATTCATAGATGAATGGACAAATAATTCGAATAAATCACAACACGAATATCACGTGAAGAAAAAAACACACGCACACAATCAAATACTGAGTGGGGAGGTAGCTGTTGAGCGTTGGAGTGCGAGATAAGTAGAGTTAGATGGAAGACTGAGAGATACCCAGGGTGGGAGGAGAGTTGGCGAAATTGTAAAATAAATAAGAGTAGTTAAAGATATATGAGTATAAGAGTGAGAAAGAAAGCTTACTGTTCCTCAAAAGCAAGATGACTAATAGAAATGTAAACTAAATATAAAATATATATGCTTAACTAAATATTTTTAAAATTATTTAAATTAAAATATAAAATAAAATACATTCTATGAAAAAAAAATATATGTTTAAAAAATATTTTTTAGCTAAGAAAATTTAAAACTTAAGGAACAAGACTAGAAGATGAGAAGATCTTTCTTATGAAATATGGAGGTTTATTATATATATTTGTATAATATTAATATTATTTAGGTATATTAATAAAATACATATATATCTTTTATTTATTTATTTTTTAGCAAACTTCCAGAAATAAAACTTACTTTTATTATTTTATTTATTTTGTATATATACTTCTACAATATGCCCATTGAATCTCGTAATGTATTAAACTAAATATATCTATTTTAATCTTTCTTTACCTTTTAACATGTGCTAACTTTAATATACCTCTCTAGTCATTCACTATATGTATGGGGCACTAATCAGATCAGACAAAATATCTACACTCATTGTGCTGTTGTTTTCGAGACCAGAATATGAGTAGCTTTACTGAGCAGAGATATTTATCTACAAGAACTTATGTCAAACTTTCGGTAAAAAAAAAAAACCTTAAAATATACCCTATTTAAGCAAAGAATGGGTACATAGGAAATTTGCTAATTTGCTCTACTTACTGTGTGAGGCTAGCCATTCATTGTAGTCCAAGCCAGCTGGAAGATCGACAAGGGCTTTGAGATCAGCTTCAGGTAGTTTGCGTTCAAGGACGCTCTCCTCCAAATACAATTTGGTGTCTGTTGAGTTTTGATCGCCATCGCGCTCTTTGCGACGCGCCTTACTGCAATGAGACACAAACAAGAAAAATACAGGGTATTGTTAGCACAACAGCAATGAGAGCACATATATCTATATACATATATATAGCTGTGGAGATATATTATTGATAGTCCTAGCGAAGTTCTCACCCAGCTACGCATAGAAACGTATCGACCGAGTCCTGGGCATAGCGGTACAGTGTGCCTATGGTATCACCAATTTTAGAGGGTATCGTTGTCACTTGCCACATAAAGCGCGCGGTACGCAACAAACATTTAAGCACAAACGATGCGGGCGCTGAGCTGTTCGCTGTGGCACTTGATCTGTCAGTTTTGGCTATATCTATAATGGGTTCTGATTCGCTGTCTAATTTTTTAGCTATCGAGGCGCTTGTTGTTAATGATGTTGTCTCTTTTGTTAATGTTGCTGCTGTTGTTGTTTTTGTTGGCACCTGATTGTTTGGCGTTACTTTCATTTTTTGGTATTATTCACATTGCTTTGGTCTTTTTTTTTTTTTTTTTTTTTTTTTTTTTTGGTTTTTTGGATTTGTCTTTCCGGCCAGCTCTGCAAATGCGTTCAAAATGTTTGCTTATAACAACTGAAAGACCGCACAGCCCACTCCTCTACATGGACGGACACACACACATACACACACTCTCACGTGTCTTATCGCTCAACGGTAGCCCTCGGAATGGCAGGCAGCAACAACAAACCAAACCCAACGAAAACATAAAAATATAAACCTCAAGCGACAATCGGGCAATGAGAAACCCCGTCAGTCCCTGACTCGGGTTATTTGCACATGTCTATATACTAAATATCATGAATATATATTTATATATAAAAACATATATATAGTCCAATTCTTGATAGCATTCGCTCCCTCTCTCTCTCTCTGCTTCTCTCTTTGTCTCTCTTCTGATCGCAAAAAGAACTTGCGCAAGCTTTGCTGGCATTAAGGCTACAATTTGTTGTTTTTGTTCTTTCGGTTTAAGCGATAGGAAACTCTTCAGCACCTTGAAGATTGCTCGAGTTAAGCCTCGACGACCAAAGTCTTAATAAACCATAAAAAATATTATTTTTCACACTTCAGATAATATTAATATGTCTGGCTTTAGACAGGAACTGGGGAATTAAAATATGATACAAATAGAAAGAGGGCGAGTGCGAGTGAACTGAAAGAGAGAGAGAGCTACCTCTCTTGGACATAGTCTAGTTAAATCAAGGAAGATAGAGAGTGCGGTAGAGAGAGAGAGAGGGACAGAGGGATAAAGACAGAGGTGGTTGGTCATAATAAAATTAAGAGAGAGATAGTGATTAAAAGAGAGAGAAGTGGTTGGACACAGTCCAGTTCAATCAAGACAGATATAGTGATTAAGACAGAGGGGGAGTGAGAGAGATAGATCGGGTGAGTGAAGAGAGAAGGAGAGAGAGAAGGAGATAGAGAGCGAAAGCAAGACACAGAGGTGGGCGGGCATAATCTTGTTATATCAAGATAGAGGGGGAGGCCAAAATAAGCAAAAAAAAAAATACAATATACCTATATTATTAGAAAATGGATAATCTTAAGCAAGTTTAACATTCTCACAAATAAATAAAATATTATCAAAAACCCTTGACCAATATATAATTAATGATCTCTTGAGGTTTCTCTAGATGGATACCGAATGAAAAACTATTCAAATAAAATATCCATAAACACAATGATAGATTGGCGTATTACCAAGTCTAAGTCAACACAATTACGAATTTCAAAATAAAGTTCAGGTCTTCTGAATAGACTTTAGAGCTCGCGTGTTTGCTTTCTCATTTCCTAATCAGCATAGTCTATGTAATGATATAATATATCATAATTGTGCTTAAGTAGCTTACAAAAAGTTGCTTTTAGATAAGACAAAAGCCCCAAAAACGAACTCGTAACGCTTTCTAAGCCCCAACAAACTGACACAGAACGCTTTCTGTAAGAATACCCCAAAATCAACAGGAACAACAACAACAACGAAGACAACAAAAACTTGTTCCATTTGCTCTATTTAAATAATTGCTAAACTCCCGATCTTTGGGCATATATATGCATAGAGATAAAGCCCGCCGCATAGAGAATAAGGCAGCGAAGCGTATTGACCAAATCGTTGCGATAAGAGAGGGTTTCCATATATGTATAGAGTTAAATAGTATACATATGTGTAGTTGGGTATACATATTATGATTATTTGCTTGGGTAAACAGGTGAACACAATCGAGGCGTCAGTTCAGTGGCCTTTCCATTGTCTGACTTAGGCGATAATGAAAAACTTTGCCATACAATTCGACCTCATTGTCAATTTTCAACAACAAAAGCAAAAACAAAAGGGCAAAAAGCGAACAAGTAAACACGAGTAAAGTAAAAATGGAAAAAAAAAAATTAAATATTCATGGACAAGGTCGCACACTCTGATAACATGATTGGAAAACGAGCTGTGCTACCCCACCGAAAGCTGTTTGGAGCTGCCCTCGCTGGGGGACACCACGCCTCCGCCCCTGGAACCCTACAAATCTCAATCTCAAAGGCGACCCTCGACCACATTTCAATTTCCATTTTTCAATTTCAATTTCAATTTGCAGCTGACAAATTGCGTGTCAGAGGAGTTGCAAAGGTCGGCTCTTAATTTAAGTGCACCTTTTGTTCGCATTACCTGCTATCTAAGGCGTGGCATTAGGCGAACGGCATTTCCTGAAATTACAATTTCCGAAATTGGGGCAATAACACTTTCCTATTACCCAAATACATTTTTCAAGGACTGTAGCTCTTTTGATTATCGAGCTATGCTTAAGCAATCGAGGCTCTAATATCAAGTTTTATCGAAAATAATATTTTAAAATTATATGGCAAAATAATATATAACAAACAATAAAAACAAAAATTAGATTAAGTAAATTCTTAAAAGTATACATAAAACATTTTGAAAAAAAAAAAAAATCACTAAAGAAATATTTTTAAAAATAATGTTTGTTTTTTTCGCTATTAATATTTATGAAATAGGATAAAAATCTTATAGAACTTTTATGTTATTTAGTTTATACACATTTATATGTCTCAATTTTGTTGCCCAATTTATTTATTTTAATATATATATATTGTTTATGTATATTTGTCATTATTTTTTTAATCTACATTTTCCACATTGTTTTTATGTATTTATTTTTTTATTGTTTCAAATATCAATCGAATATGAAGTAAAAACTATTTAATTTTAACATTTTTGTAATTTTTTTATTTTATATAGTTTTTTTTTTTTTATAATATTTTATATATATTTTTTTAAGTTTTAATCTCAATTTATTTACTTTTAGTTTTAATTTTAACTTTTGTTTTAATTTTAATGTTTTTTCTAATTTATTTCTTTTGTTTTTAAGTTGATTTTTGTTGTTTAAGAAAGTTAACATTTCACATATAATTTTAATTTTGAGAACTGTTTTTCATCGTTCAACGTCAACGTTCAAGAAGAATATGAAAAGTCAGAATGACGAAAGTCGACATTTCTGAATATGAAATGTTAATTGTCGCTTGATATTTTATTGCCTTCAGCGCGAGAAGATTAGATAAATCACTTAAGGAAATATTGAAATATTGTCATATAAATCAAATGCACCTCGATAGGATTCATAATACACGATTTGCACTAATCTATCGATTTGTATGTACGCTTATCACATCGATTGTCAGATTAATTTGTGGGCTAAGCGAAAAATATCACGAATTAATGGGATAAGAACTTTCACGCACACACAGGAATATTGTTATAGACATTGATTATACGATTTAATATAGCAGAAGAAGAAGAAGCAGAATAAGGAGAGACCTCGTATTGTTCGAGCAGAGAAGACCGCAAATAAATTGGCACGTTGAACTTTTATGTCGCATTGCGATGTCGCAATCGGCAAGAGACTGAAAGCGAAATAGCAAAAGCCTCGCACGAAATGCCGAACTAGCGATAAATAAAACAAATTTTGTACTCATAATATCCGAGTGACTTGGAACATGATAAAGCGTAGCCCGATTTTAGGGTTCACTTTGCAGTGCTCAACGACAAGAGATTAGCAATTTGCCTTTTTGGGGGCGCGAACTGCATTGGCACCTGACTCAATTCAATATTTATTGGAGACACGCGGCAAAGGCTTTTCGATTTTCGCTTTTGTGTTTTCCCAATTGCCTTGTGTTCTTTCGGGTGCCATATGCATTCGCTCACACACCTCCACAGTAATGATTCTACCTCTATTAGCTGTTGTCTCTCCTCCCCCTCAACAAAAAAAAAAATGGAATTCGTAATGCGGTATTCGACATGACCCTGAGACCATATGTTGCGCCTATATACCTATAGACCTATATATACCCCACCTACTGCCCCATCCCTCACACTCTCCCTCTGTCTGCTTCGCCTCCTCTCCCCCAAATTAGATAAGTGCAATTGTTTCCCCGGCCCTGTAGTATATATATGTTTTTATATATACATATGTGTTCCATTTAGTGAAAAGAATTCCCATATACGATTGATCCATCAATTTAAAAAGCTTTCGACTGTTGCCACATACGATAAAAAAACAATTAGGGAAATACTAATCGATATATTTTTGATACAGTTGGAATTAATAGAAAGTTGATCGAAATATATATATATACATATATCAATATTCTACATTATATATGTAATATCTTAAATTGTGATGGAGCTTCAGTTTGTTGGAAAGTATATAAAAACATATATATAGAAATTTCATATATATGAATATTCTAAATATTATTTAAAAAAATTTATAGAACTTTGAAATTCTGGGAAATAATCGGTTCTATTTACAATATATTTATGAAAGTTTTCTGAAAAATTCGGCATTGCTGAAAGATTTTAACAGTATGACGGATATAAAAAGTGAAATATTCATAGATAGAGAAGTGAGTAATTTAAGAGTAAAATAATTTTAAATGAGCTGCAATCTTGGAACTGATTGTCAAATGATATCGATAATATATCTAGAAAATATAGC